TACTACCTCCTATTTTTAATATATGTCATTTTGAAAAATTGCAGTTAATTAAGAATTTTTTTTTGTCAATAATAACCTTATTTAACGAGGATAGAGATGAATGTTTTGAGAAAAAGTGAAGAGTAAATATGAAAAGAGTAATGTATTTATTAGCTAAATGAGGGTAACAATGGAAAAATATGTAGAAAATATCCAAAATGACATTTATTTGACAAATAGTTGATAAAACTAGAATGACATTTAAAAAAAAATAGGAGGGAGTATTAATTTTGCATATGTCGAGACGTAAAAATATTGACGGCTATGTTAAAACTCCGTTTCGATAACGCCCTAGAACTAAAATTTTGACAGGAAAACAGCAGGTCCAATTTTTGATAACTTGAGGACAAAGTTGCAACACGATCGATAATACGAATATGCTACAGTTCCGTTACGGAACCATTCTGTCGGAATTTGTAACCGTTAAATTATAACGGTTACGAATCCTAACGAAATAGTTCTATAACGGAATCGTAGAATTTCCCTCAATCATATACAGAGTTAAATGTGCAATTTTCTCCGCAAAAAAATTACACAAAAAGATCGCCCTGATTGAAGGAGTTGGGATATTATCACCTTTTTTGAAATTCACATTTCTTCTGCCTTTTTCATGATTTACTCAAATCCAACCGTATCTCATTAACGCAAAGAGACCGACCTTTTTGTATAACTAGTTCGTGGCCCATGCGATGCACGGGAATATAATATTACGATTGTGTTATAAATTAAATATACAAATAAATTAATCAAATTTACTCATCGTTTTTAAATTAAACCGTGTTGGACACAACTGACCGGATGAACCGAGAACCAGTTTAGTTCACTTGAATAAAATATTTGCTATATTGAATCCGTCAACACCAGTCGGTTGAACTGGTAGGATCGATACGATTTTCTAAATAAATTTTGCTATATTGAAAATTATTTTAAATAATATTACATATTTAAATAAAATAGAGTTTTTTAAATTGTTTATCAATTAATTTAAGCATTTGAATTTTTAAATTGTTTAGATATTTAAGTAACACATTTTATTCAAACTTATTACAAAAAGTGTCATACATATATATATATATATATATATATTAAATCGTATTTTAAAGAAAAAATTAAATTGTATGATTTATAAATTAAAGTGTGTGATTTTATATTAAAGCGTATTTATAAATTAAATTGTATGATTTTTAATAAAAAAAATAAGAAAAATAATAAAACTACTATTTATGGGTTGCATTAAATGCTGACCTATTTTTCTGCTACTAATTTTAGTAAATAGGATGACTCTTTATATAAGTATAGATAGAAAAAAGGTAATAAAAAGGCACGACAACTAAAAAAAAAAATAAATACTTGAATTGATTTGATTCACATTTGTTCATTTATTTTGGTGTTGATATGGACAAATTCTCAAGAATCAACAGTTTTTCCAAAGGCAAATCCCACTTATAATCACAAAAGGCCTAATCACATTACACTTAACAAAAGACAAATTACACTTATAATCACATTCAAAAAACTTTTGTGTTTCTCCTAACACTAGTTTTTGTGTTACGCGGCCTAATCTGTGGATTTATCACACTTTCTTGACAAAACATGTATACTTATGTAAATTGCTAATATGATTTTATGTAAATTGCTATACTTTTTAATTATATGTTTTATAAATTACGACATTTTAATTTGAAAATATGCATATCCGCTAAAAAATAGTCGTTCATTAGTTGCCCAATTAACTCATGACATCAGCAGCAGTTATTTGTGTATAGACACAACTAACTAACCTTCAATTCAGACAAACTAACAATTCTCAGAAAATCCGTATTCTCAACTCCATCACAAACTATAAACACACAAAAATCCCACATACACATCTTATCACATAAAACCCCAACATTTTCGTGACACCATCAAAAACACCTATTTACACACACCCAACTCTTCACTCACTAGTCACTACACACCAAATGCTAAAACTATACAACCACAATAAACCCTCCCAAATCCCTCAACCTACCAAAACACACACACACACACACACACACACACACACACTATATAAATCAACAAAACCCCCGAGCTCCCCATCCTCAACCGATCTCTTTTCCCACAAAAACAATAAAAAAATAAAAACAGCCCCTTTCACCTCGCCTCTTTTCCCGCCAAAAGAAAAAGTCCCTAATATGTGGATTTATCACACTTTCTTGACAAAACATGTGATGCAGCGTAAAGCATGTATAGGAGAGATTAAGATGATTGTTCACTGAGAACGAAGAATACAGATAACAATTTCAGTATTCTGATAAAAATTGTCGTAATAATAGCCCACACACAACAGTTTCAATAATACTTCTCCTAAACACATAATATTAAAAGCCCATAATAATACAAGCCCACACACAACATAAATAAATACAAACAAGCCCAACACACAACATAAATAATATCAAACTAAAGACCGGAGCCGATCATATTTGTCGAGAAACGCCAACGCACTCTCGTCGGCATCGACATGTATACATATGTAAAATGCTATACTTTTTATTTTTATGTTTTATAAATTATTACGACATTTTAATTTGAAAATTGCATATGCTAAAAAATAGTCATTCATTGGTTTCCCAATTAACTCAAGACATCAGCAGCAGTTATTTGTGTACAAACACAACCAACTACCCTTTAATTCAGACAACCAACTATTCTCAGAAAATCCACATTCTCAATTCCATCGCAAACAATAAACACATAAAAATCCCACATACACATCTCATCACATAAAACCCCAATATTTTAATGACACCATCAAAAACACCTATTTACACACACCCAGCTGTTCACTCAGTACAACCAAATGCTAAAACTCTTAAACCACAATAAACCCTCCTCCCCCAAACCCAAACCCCTCAACCTACACAACACACACACACACACACAAACACACACACACACACTATATAAATCAACAAAACCCCCGACCTCCCCATCCTCAAGCGACCTCTTTTCTCAACAAAAAAAAGTCCCTTTCACCTTTCCTCTTTTTCCGAAAAAAAAAACAGTCCTTAATTTGTGGATTTATCACTTTCTTGACAAAACATGTGTAATTATGTAAAATGCTACTATAATTTTATGTAAAATGTTGTACTTTTTATTTATATGTTTTATAAATTACTACGATATTTTAATTTAAAAATATGCATATCCGCTAAAAAATAGTTATCCATTGGTCTCCCAATTAACTCAAGACATGCACTTATTTGTATACAAACACATCCGCTAAAAAATAGTTATTCATTGGTCTCTCAAGTAACTCAAGACATGCACTTATTTGTATACAAACATAACCAACTACCCTTCAGTTCAGACAAACCAACTATTCTAGAAAATCCACATTCAAACTATAAACACACAAAAATTCTACGCACACACATCTCATCACATAAAAGATAAAACCCCAACATTTTCATGACACCATCAAAAAACACATATTTACACACACCCAACTCTCCACACCCACTACACACCAAATGCAAAAACTCAAAAATCACAATAAAACCTCCTCCCCAAACCCAAACCCAAACCCAAACCCAAACCCTCAACCTACACAAAACTGTCAAAACATACACACACACACACACACTCTATATAAATCAACAAAACCCCCGAGCTCCCGATCCTCGACCGGCCTCTTTTCCCGCCAAAAAAAAATAAAAAAAATACAGTCCCATTCACCTAGCCTCTCCAAACATCGAGACTAAAGCCCCCTTCAACTGCTCCTGCGTGAAAAACCGGCCCTCCATCTTCACCGTGGCCTGTTGTATCATCAGGTCATTAACAACCGACACACTGGCATGGTGCACGTCAAGGTCAAGCTCCCTCAATGCCACCATCAGCTTAGCCGCCGGATGGTTCCTCTTCCCACACTGCACCCGAATCATAGCATCCCGACCCATAATCTTCACATCCACCTCCATCTCCCCAAAGCCCTTACCCGAGTCGACTTCTTGATTACCCGGAGTTGACTTTGACTTTGACTTTGACTTACCGGAAGGCTCTAGCCGCCGCCGGAGTTCATCCCGTTCGGCCTCAGCAGATTGGAGCCTCGACTTGAGGTCGTTGATGTAGGAGATTGCGTCCCCTAGCAAAGAGGCCTTGTCCATCTTGGACACGTTTGGGACTACTGCTCGGAGGGCGTAGAATTTCTGGTTCAGCTTCTCCCGCCTTTGCCGCTCGGCCTCCACGTGGTTCAGAGGCTCCAACCGGCCGTTGGCGGGCTTACGGCCTCGTTTGCGGGGTTTCTTCTCCGGCGAGGAAGGATTAGCAACGGCTCGGCTGCTTTCGGCTTCACGAGCCACTGATGGCTCGAGGTCCGACTGGTCTGAGTCTATGGTGGTGCAGCCGTCGTCCATTTTGACGATGGCTCGAGAGGTGAAGGACATCATGCCCTCGTTGTTGTTGTTGATGTTGTTGCTGCTTCTTGATGTCGGGGAGGCTTTCTTCTTCTTGTTCGGGCTGTTGTTTTGGGTTTCGCCGAAGTTCAGAATCTCGCCGGACTCTGGCTTGCAGGGCCCGGTGCTCCGGAGGACGGATGTGCTGGCGTTGAGACCGAAGTCGGAGAAGTTGAGTTCCCGATGGGGGAGGGGAGCGTGGGACGACGCGCTGGGATTGGGGATTTGATCGGTTAATAGGGCGGGTGGGGGGCTAGGGATTGAGGGATTTTGCTGGACGATGTCGGTGGCGGTGATTGTGTGGTGGTGGTGGTTGTTTAACGGGTCCCTTAGATCCACGGCGGAGGAGGAGGGGTCGGCCAGCCAGAGGGCGGCGGGGTCGGGGTCGTGGTCGGAAGGGGTCCAGGGGGGGTGGGCGGTTTCGGGTTGGACGAAGTTGAAGAGGGTTCGTACAGTCCTGGTGAGATCCGAGCTCTGAAAGATGATCTCGGTGGAGCCGAGCTCGACGACGCCGCTTGAAGAGGGTATGCAGACGAGAGTCTGGAGGCCGAACCCTTGGGCCTGACGGGCCCGGCTGCAGGGGGAGGCAGCGAGCCGGTCGGGCCCGGTGACCCAGATCGGGCTGGAGGTGTACAGTGCCTGGCCCGGGACGCCGGACCCGTTGACGAAGGATTGGGTCATGGATATGAGGAAGAACCACTCGGTGTCGGTGACCTCCTCGTCGATGGCATCGTCGGCGACGGCGGCCTGCGGGTCGGAGACCAGGGAGTTGAGCTCGCGGAGAACTCTCTTCCGGTGCTCCTGCTCAGAAGGGGAGGATGCCGTCCGGCGCTTGGCCTTATCCTCCTCGCCCTTATAGTAGCCGTCGCCCCAGCCCAGCACCGGCGGGCCGCCGTAGTCAAGGGCCGAGGACTGCCAGAATATGGCGTATGTCCAAGTGTCCCTCGCGCCCTCGATCAAAGCCATAAGGCGCTGCTGGAGGGTCTCCTGATTGAACTGGGATGCAGCAGAGGTACTCCTGGGGTGGTCTCCGCCGGGCGGCGGAGGATGGGGAGGAGAGGAAATCCCGTTGAACTGGGTCTGCGGTGCGAAAGCGGATGCGGGCCAGAAAGAAGCCAGATCCGAATCATGGGACATGAACGCCTCCATCACGGCGGCGTCTCCGTCCGCCGCCGATGATGGGGCGGCGGTGCTCCATAGACTCATCGGCGGAGATGAAAAGAGAATGAAGCGAAACCAAATTTCAGTAGAAAGGGTTTTTCATCTCAATATACGTGATGATAATCATGTGGTTTTTGCAGAGAGCGAGAGAGATTGGATTTGGGAAAGTCGAGTGGTGGTGGAGAGAGATGGAAGAGATAAAATAATGGAGGAGTGTGTGACTGTGCATTAAGGTGGAGAAAGATCTTTTTGTTTATTTGGTTTTGAGATTTTTATTTATTTATTTTGGTGTGCATTTGAGTGTTCTTTTGGAGACTTTTGTTGTGGTTAGGTGCATTGCATTTGCATATCAACAGTGGCAACAATATCGAATAATACCGACCCAAAAACCGAATCGAATCATCGAATCAGTCTCGTTATGGAACCATTTCGTTAGAATTTGTAACCCGTTAGATCAACTATCCACGACAATTATATAATGATCTAACGATTACAAATTCTGACCGAATGGTTCCGTAACGAGACTGTATCATTTTTCTCAAAATACTAAGTATCTAAAAATTGATTTATTTTAAATTAAAAGAAGATTGATATGGCATTTCTCAAAATACTAATTATCTAAAAATTGATTTATTTTAAATTAAAAGAAGATTGATATGGCTTTGAAGATAGACGTTCCTATTGAGAATCAAATCGAGTTGTCCTGTACATGATCGAATAGTCAAAGTTAAAGAAGTAAATTATAACTTTAAATGTGTCTAATTCTTTGATTTATGACAATTTTATTTAGATTATTTAAAAAGTAATAATATTTCATAGCATATAGTAATAGTAATTCAGTTTCACATAACATTAATATTTTAAAATTTTTTATTATATTACTTTTTTTTTTTTTTTTAATT